CAAACCTACACTCAGGTAGACAGAAAAATATGCTGAACTCTCCAAATATTCACCCGCCAGCCCCAGCCGCTCCTTAGTCCCTCCTCTGTCTCTGCTCCCGGCCACTGCCTCCCCAGCCTGGAATATTCTGAAGCAACTGCCTGACACCATTATCAATTCACCCAAAATATATCCGACTGTATCTCTCCAAGAGGCAAAGAGTTAGACCCAGCTAAAAATAACTACACTATCGGAAACGTGACCAAAGGATTTCACAGTAATTTCTTAACATCATCAAATGGCAGCTCTGGGTTCAAACTTCCCAGATGGTCTTTACATTTTCCTCCCACATGTGTGTTTATTGGACGCAGGATTCAAATAAGATCTACGCATTGCAATTCATACTGTTATTGTTTAATTGTTTCCTCCCTCTCCTGCGTCTCTCTCTCTTTTTTTTTTTAGACAGTCTTGCTATCTAGCTCAGACTGGCCTTGAACTCTCAGTGATCCTCCTGCCTCAGCCTCCTGAGTGCTGGGATTACAGGTGTGCGCCACCACCCCGACTGCAGTGTGCTTGTTGAAAACCTGGGGCCGCGTCTGTTTGGATTTTGCTGATTGCATCTGCATGGGGTTGTTGAACCCACTGCTCTCCCTCCCACGCTTCCTGTAAGTTGGTAATTCAACTAAGAGACAGGCCTCGAGTCAAGCTGCATTGCCTCAGATCCTCCGCTGCCCCCAAAAGACAGTGCAGGACCTAACCCAAGCAACTCCCTTGAATAAAAGAGAAAGCTCCAACTAACGCTGACCTACAGAGGCCCCTCCTGTGAGACTTCCATAGAAGCAGCGTGAGTTAGCACAGAGGAACACCCAAAACTGCCCCCGGGGTAACTGTACGCGCCACAGGGACATTTCCATGGAAACGCAGCGTCTGGTGTGGAAATGGTCCTCGCGGAGCGCCAGTATTCAAAGACTCACAAGTCTTTGGGGGCAATGAGGGAACGGAGAGGGACCCATGGATAACGTCCCAGTGCTTGATGACCAGGAAAGTGTGGCTTTCCCTGCAAGCATCCCGGAGAAGAGGAAGGACATACTTTAGGAAGACTGATCATTGTTCAGTTAAAAAAAAAATTTTTAAAAATAACAAAATAAAGTAAGAAGATAATTGTTCAGTTGATGTGGAAGATTTGCCCATGTGAAAATTTATTATGCAGCTGAGTGGGTTTTTGTTTCATTTGCTTTTTAAGTACTGGAGATCTAGGGATTGGTGGTGGAGTTTTTTTTTCTTCTTTGTATCAGGAATTGAACTCATGACCTCATGCTTGCCAGGCAGCTGCTGTGCCGCTGAGCTACATCCCCAGCAAGATTTAGGGATTGAACTCAGTCACACACTGCTAGGCAAGGATTCTCCTGCTGAGCTTCATCCCTAGTTCTAAGATAGCTTAGTTTGAAATACTAAATGTCAATTTATAAAAATACATATCAGGGGCTGGGGATTTAGCCCAGCAGCACAGCACCTGCCTGGCAAGCGCAAGGTTGTGAGTTTGATTCCTGGTACCAGAAGAAAAACAAACCAATAAAAACAAAAACAAAACACATACTAGAATTAAAAAACAAAATAAATTTGCTGCTTTTATGGCATGAAATGACATGGGGACTAGAACAATGACCTGTGATACTACACTGTATAAAGACACAGTTTAGCCAGGCATGGTGGCACACACCTGTAATCACAGCACTCGGGAGGCTGAGACAGGAGGATTGTTGCAAGTTCGAGATCAGCCTGTACTACAAAGCGAGCTCAAGGCCAGCCTGAACTGCGTAGTGAGACCCTGTCTCAGAAAGACAAAAAAATAAGTAAATAAACGACAGGGCTGCCCAGCTCTGATGATGGGAGTGGCCCCCTCCTGTTCTTATAGCTGATTGACTCACAGATAAACACATGACCCATGGATGGCCAGCCAGATTCCATGTTTTAGAAATTGTTTTTTTCTAAGGGAACGGAAAGGGAGCCCCTATTGGCTGTGAAGAGCCAAGCCAGAAGGTTGTAAGGTGATACAGCCTTTGGGTCACACAGGAAAGCTGACTAACAGAGCCAAGGGACTTCAGCGGAGATGGATGAACACCCTGGAAACTCCGCAAGGCGTGCTCAGTGTCGGCTGTAGGTCTTGGTGCAGGGACCCAGCACGAGAAGACAGGGATGGAGGTGTGGGTGTGAGCAGGGATTAAGTTGCTTTATGCAGGTAACAGATCTGGACCTCTGAATACTATGGTGCCCTCAAAGCCTGGACTAGGCAGGAGGAACAGGAAGAGAAGCGGTGTGCTCCCCAGACGTCTCTGCTCCAACATGGAAGCCTGGTTTACTGACTGGCATTTTTCCATTGTCCAAGAGAAACCTGGTTTTGGACCTGACCTGAAAAGCAGTCACTCAAAGCCCTCAGGACCTGACAGCCTATTTCAAGGTTCTGCCTAGAAAGCATCTGGCAGAGGTGCTTCCCGATGTACCTCGTCCTGGAATCCCGTTCAGAAAACTAACGGAGACAAAGGGCCTGTGGGCACCAAGGAGGACCCAGGTACCAGCCGCCCCTCTGTCCTCACCAAGCTGCAGGACAGAAGGAAGCACAGGCAGCCATCAGTGGGTGAGCTGGCCTGGGTTGAGTGTGACCTGGAAGAGGCTTCTGACCATTAATCCTGACATGTCAGCTTCACTAGATTAACAAACACCTAGCGGATTACGAAAGCCTGCTCATGTGTGTGTCTGGACCAGTCATGGAAGCACAGCCCTGGGTGTTGCATGTGGTATCGGCCCTTTACTCTCTGGCTGTGCCCTGGCTGCCGTGAGCTGAGCAGCTTTCCTCCTCCACACCCTGCCACACCACGGTCCTACCCATGGACCGAACCCCCTCAAACCATGAACCATGGACCAAGTGAAACTTCTCCTCCCTTAACCCGTGTGAGGTGCTGTGGTTCCTCGGTATCCCCAGGTCCTGTCCTTGTGCCTCCCCGGGTGACGTGGATTCCCAAGGGCCTGCCTTCCGCCCCCCTTCGCTACAGTGCTGGGCCATGGCTGCCGGGGATTGTCACTCTCACTGCTGCTGCTGTCCTTGCTGTGGCTTCCCTGTCCTCACAGCTAGGTGGTGTGACCTTTACAGCCTTGGTCTGGGCTCTGGGCCTTAAACCAGATCAGAAACAACAGGACACAGCTGCCCTCAGATAACATCCAATTATGTGAGTAGATCAGGTCTGCGGGTGTGCGTGGGTGTGCATGTGTGCACGTGTGTGGTCGTAAATACCATTGGGCCCAGGGAGCAGAGCGACCCCAGGAGGCCAAGGCCTGCCTGCCTGATCCTGGCCAGCACAGATGTGGGGACATTATCTCTCTGGAACCACCCAGGGATTCATAGATTGTGACACTTTGAGGATTTTCATTTAAAGAAATGATGAGGGCTGGGTATCGGGATTTTGCCACAATGATATTCATTATAGTGTGGTTTATGAAACAGCAAGAAGCTGAAATTTCCTTGAGTCAGTGATTGCTATTGCCTCTCTGATACTCAATTCCCCTTTTTCCTCACTGAGCCTGTTTATTACAGACACAAACAGACTTGGCTTTAGGGCTGGGGATGTAGCTGAGCAGCACAGCACCCGCCTGGCAAGTGTGAGGTCATGAGTTCGATTCCCAGTACCAAAAAAAAATGGCAATAGACTTAGCTTTATTTTTATGTGTGGCAACTGAACCCAAGGCCTTGCACATGCTGGGCAAGTGCTCTACCACTGAACTACATCCTTAGCCCCAGATCTGACTTTATTTTAATTAAATTAATTAATTTAATTTTTTTGTCTTTTTGAGACTGGGTCTCGCTATGCAGTTCAGATTGGCCTTGGACTCATTTTATAGCCCAAGCTGGTCTGGAATTCACAACGATCCTCCTGCCTCAGCCTCCTGAGTGCTAGGATTACAGGCATACGCCACCGTGCCTGGCTCCAGATTTGACTTTAAAAAACACATTTTCCCAGCTTGTCTTGCAGGTGGAAGTGGTCATGTGACCTGATTTTAACCAATGACATTAAGCAACAAAGGTTGTGTGGGCTTCAAGGAAGCTTCATAAAAGAAGAGAAGGCATGGCTGGCATGTACTCATTGCCCCTTGCCTTTCTCCTTCCTTCCACTTGAACTGTGCTTGTGATGGCCAGAGCTCTGGCAGTCATCTTGACAGGTGGTGGAATAGAAAGCTAAAGACAGGCAGGAGTTTCAAACTTCTTTTACACAGGGCCAAATAAACTTCTATTGTGTAAAGCTGAGCCATTTGGGTTTTTGTTAGAAGCTGCTAACTTCAGTCCCCAGTGATACAGTATCCAAACATCCAACAATAAGAGCATGATTATAAACCACCATCCGGTCATACTGCAGAGTATTTTACAACCTTTTGATAATTGTGTTCAAAAAGATCTAGTAATATGGAGAGGTGTTTGTGATGAACTAAGTAGGTCACAAGACAGAATGTATAATAAGATTTTTTTTAGAAAGAGAATGTGCATAAAATGTGTAGAAAAAAGACATGAAAACAATATATTAAATTTCTCTGGGTGGTGGAGACATGGTGATTTTTTCTTCAATTTCTCCCTTCCTCCCCACTTCTCTTCCTTCCTTTCTTTTTTTTTTTTGCCATATTGGGGATCGAACCCAGGGCTTTTGTTCACTCTGAGTGACATCCTCAGCTCAGAGTTTCTTTACTTTTTATTTTGAGACAGAGTCTGACTGAGTTGCTAAATTGCCCAGGCTGGACTTGAACTTGTGATCTTCCTGCCTCAGCCTCCCTGAGTGTTGAGGCGTGCACTGCCACACCTGACATTCTTCTATTTCTTGATGTATGTAATACCTACAATTTCCTGGTTTGGTGACAGAAGAGCAAGAATAGCTTTAAAAAAAAGATAAACACGACTCCTTGTCCCATGGAGACTTCCCGTACCGACCCCTCCACTTCTGTACTCGAGGGGCGGTTCTGGGCGGCTCACCCTCTCTTACCTCAGCTTCTGGACGCTTGTGCCAGTCTGTACTACTGCTCCGCACTGTGGGGCTCTGCTTCGGGGCTCATTTATGGATTTTCCACCGTCCTGTGAATCTGTGGCATATAACAAAGGGAGCAAGTCAGAAAATATGCACCTCCCGCTTCCCAGCCAATTCCCCTATACCAGGACAGCAGTGACCATTGCCAGGAGCGGGAAGGAAGTGGGGTGAGGGGGGTCGGATGCTGTCTGTGTGAAAACTGTAACCATGATACAGAACTTCATCTGTGTGTACACATGCGTAGGCCATGGGAAATAAAAACGCTGATTTGATCATACGAGGTATGATTGAAAATGCAAGGGCGGGGGATATAGTTCAGTGGTACAGGTGCCAGCCTGGCAAAGGCAAGGTCCTGAGTTCGATTCCTGCTACCGAAAAAAAAGAACAATTAAATGAAAATGTGGTGAATGCTTAAATTTAAAAGACACATCACCATGAATCCCCCCAGACACTTCTTGCTTCAGGCACTCTTATCCCCTTGTTCTCGCTGCTTCCTGCAGCAGTTCCGAAGTTCTCTTTCCTGCGTGTCCGCAGTTGCACTGTCGTGGCTGCCTCGATGTACTGAGTCGATTCAACTGTTTACCTTTCACGGTCATTTTGACTTTGGGGAAGAGCCAGATGCCCCTTGGTGCCAGACCTGGTGAAAAGGGCAGACGAGGGCCTACTGCAGCATGTTTACGAGCTGCCTTTGGTGTTATTTTGACTGGACAAAAGTTATTTGCAACTTGCCAGTCTTTTCAACAAATGTTGCCATGTCTGAGTCCTGGTCAATACTAAATAGTAAGTCAAGTCACCTTCCCCTACAACAGCGATGGCAAACCTTTTGGAGCTTTCAACGATACGAGCAGCCCGCTGGAGCATGCGTGCCACAGGTTCGCCCTGACTGCTCTAGAATGTCACTTCGCCCCTGGGTGGGATGAGCAGGCAATGGTTTAGACAAGAACAGGCGTGCTCAGCGTGCCCTGGCCATAGACAGGCAGTGGTCTGGAAAACGTGTCTTTTTTCCTCTCCCCTAAAGAATACCCGTTTAGCAGATGAAATGGAAAATGCCCTTCCCCACCTGATCCAAATCCCACGTCAGACCCCAGAGCCTGAGCCTTCCTTTCTCCCGAGGGAGTGGGTTGGAGAAGACTGACGGCCCCCTGCCCTATGTCTCCTGCGGAGTGGAACAGCATTTTCTCCCTGGGTTGGGTCAGGAGATCCCGAGGGCTTAACCCCTGGGAGGAGGAAGGAGGAGTCACTATGACAACAAAGTTCTGCCCCTGAGGAAGGGACTGGAGGGCAGGGCTGGCCGCACCTGAGGCTCCTTGGCTTTTGCCTTCTCGGCTCTGTCCTCACCTGGGGCAAAACCACAACCACCTTTTGTGAGCCTTGTGACCCCTGTGACCTGCAGCTTTCCGCCACCTCTCCTGCCGTAGGTCGGTCACAGGCTCATGTGACCGAGGAAGTGCCTTTTCTATTTTCTTCACTTAAAGTTAAATTTAGCTTTTTATTTCCCCCTGTGCAAGGGATGGAACCCGCGCTTCCCACATCCTGGCAAGCATCTACCACTGAGCTACATCCTCAACCCCTTTGATTTAAATTTTATGTAAAAACTGATTCTTGATTCCGTGATTGGAAAACTCCTAAGGATATTTGGAGCACTTTGCATATGTAAATCTTTCTTGACTGTACATTTCATGCGATCTAAATCCAGATCAAGTATTTCCAATGGAAATGTGCTGAGCCAGTTGGGTAGGTCTACAATATAAAATGCTCAACAGATTTCAGACTTTGTGTAAACAAAGGACATAAAATAGTTCACGGATAATTTTTAGGTTGGTACTCACACAATACAATGATAACATTTTGGCTGTCCTGGGTTATATAAATGGATTGTTAAGATTAATTCCACCCATTTCTTTGTACTTTTTTTTCCTTTCAGTTTTTTGAGCTAGGTTCTCACTATGTAGTTCAGGCTGGCCTTGAACTCACTATGTAGCCCAAGCTGGCCTCGAACTCGTAGTGATCCTTCTGCCTCAGCCTCCCGAGTGCTGGAATTACCCACTTGTAATTTTCTAATGTGCCCTTGGGGAAGCGAAGCGTGTGCAGCGTGCACGGCTTAGGATGCCTGGGGAAGTCTTTGAGGAAGCACCAGAAGGGTCTCATGCTTCACCTTTCCCGCCCGACACACAGCTTTCAGTAGAGGCACCATAATGAGACCATGGCTCCCCGAGGGCAGAGAGTCTGTGTGTGCGCGGTGTCCTCGTAACTCCCCACCTGCGTGTGGTCTCAGCCAGCTCAAGAGTAGAGAAGGAAAACACAGCACAGCCGCTCAGCCTTCTTGTGGGGCTCCCCTTAGCCTTGGACTCAGGGCTCTGTTAACCCTCACGGGAGATCAAAGTGACCACAGGTCCTGCTACCCCCCAGTGCACAGCCAGCGCCCCGCCTGCTCATCTGAGCTGGCCCTGGGCGCTGCTCTGACCAACACAGTGGGGGCAAGTGGCCATGAAGTCCTGAGTGTAAGCCTCCCCCGCCCGGAGGCCCCTACCTGGCTGGAGGCCAAGACACCGCACGGCAAGGCTGGCCCCCACCTTCCACCCGATGGCCACTGGCTGACCGTGGGGGTCAGACAAGCTGGCCGGACAGAGGAACCACCACCCAGCCCGGGACCAGCAGCGAGAACAGGTCTCATTGCCGAACGTCTCTGTGTTCTGAGGGAGCCTGAACTTGCGGTGAAGGTTGCACCACACAAGCCTTACTGACTACTTCCGGATGAGGTAAGGAGCCAGCGGTCGCCCCCTACACCACGGGTAGCACACGGTCTGGTGGCTGCTGCTGTCCCAGGAGCTGGGAAACTGTCTCGCCCTCTGCAACCCTAGCTGGCTGCCCACGCAGCCCTGTGGAAGCCACGGGGAAAGGGTCTGTAGCTCTGGTGTGCCCCGCTGCTAAGGTTTCTGAACTTTATTCTGATCAGCAAATACATGTAGGTGTGTGTAATTATGTTGTGGCATTATGGATTGAACATAGGACCTTCAGTATTCTAGGCAGGTGTTCTACCACGGAGATACATTCCCAGCCCCTTTACTTTATTTTATTCATTTTATTTTTAAAATTTCAGGACAAGGTCTTATTCAGCTGCCCAGGCTGGCCTTGAACTTGCAACCCTCCTGCCTCAGCTTCCTAAGTAGCTAGGGTAGTAGGCAGGCACCATGTCTGACTCCACAGACATATTCTGAGCTGATAACATGTGCTAGAAACTGGTCTAGGTGATTAAGGGGTCCTGGTGTGGAGATATCCCAAGATTTTAATGTTATTTAATTTCTTGCTTGCTTGCTTGCTTGCTTGCTTTTTTGTCTTTTTTAGACAGGGTATCACTATGCAGTTCAGGCAGGCCTTGAGCTCACTTTGTAGCCCAGGCTGGCCTTGAACTCACAATGATCCTCCTGCCTCAGCCTCCCAAATTCTGGGATTACAGGAGTATGCCACCACACCAGGCTAATGTCATTTATTTTCAAAACAGTTGAAGCTCTGACATTCACGGTGACAGAGAAAGGGCAGGTGAGAACTACACAGTCCCTCATGACACAAGGGTGGACAGCCCTGCACCCGACCCCATGTGTGTACGGCTGGGAGAGGTGGGCTGCATCTTTTTAACCAAAGCCCGTTTTACTGTATAACCTGAGAATACTAGCATCCAATCTGGGAAATTTGAACTCCTCTGAAAATGGCTTCAAACCGTTCTGCCCTGTGGGACCCGTCCCCGATCATTTTCAATAGCACTTATTCCCTTTCATGTAGCAGGAACCTTTCAGCCCTAATAACTCCACCTGCATGTGAAGGCACAGCTGTGCCAGCTGTGCCCGGGGCTGACCTGCCGGGCGGGTGGGGGTCCGTTCCGAGGCGCCTCTGGCCTTGGCTTGGCTTCTGTGTCTCACTGCGCGATTGAAGATGGAGTTCCTCTGGATCGGGATGTGGCGGCGGTGTTCTTCGTCTTGGATGTCCTGGTCGTCACAGGGAGTCTTCTCTTCTTCTGAGAGTGACTCAGGCCTGGCCGAGGCCAGCTCAGCGTCAATTTTCCATAAGCCACTCACTGATTTTCTCTGGGGCTTTGCCAAACCTTCAGATTCTTTGGTCTCCATGGAAATAGACCTAACGGTTTCTCAGCAGAAAGACGAGAGGGCAGTAACCTCCACGGGCTCCACCAGACTGGAGGGCTTGAGAACAGAAAGAGAACAATTTTCGGTTAAGCGTTATCGGGCTAAACACTCCATTCAGCATATGGAATTATACTCCCATTTGGGTTTGATGAAATTTGGGATAATCTGCATATCCGGCCAACCGCATCTTTGTCAATGAAAATTACAGCTTAACCACTGTAATTTGGGTGCATTCATGTATCATTTTATAATTGAGGCTTGTTTATACTATTCATAGGATGCACTTTGCGGGACGCATGGGAAGTGCTCTGCATAACTAACTCTGAAGTAAACAGTTCTTGAGTTCTAGAGAAAAAGAGTAGCAGAAGCAGCGAGAGAATTCAGGAAAGCAATGCATATGTAAAGACGCAGGAGGAGGAAGGGGGCAGCGACCGCTCTCAGGACAGCACATTCACAGGTGCACGTGCGCGAGCCCCACAAGACCCATCTCTTGCTGTCAGCCGGCGGCCATGTCTGATCGGACTGGGGGCCTCTTCGATAGAGCCATGGGTGACATTGGGGGACAGCAAAGCCCCCACCCCACGGCTGTCTTCTTGGGAGGGAGTCGCAGAATGGTTACTCCCTCTGGGGTGACTCCTGGCACACGACTCCGGTGGGGACACTTGTCACAGGAGAAAGGGGTGGCACGGGAACAGCCCAGGACTGTGTAGGCGAAACCATCTCATTCCCGCCGCGGACCTCCTTCCGGGGTGTGGGCTTGGAGCAGGCAGGCCCTTGGGGTGAGTTGTAAGCTGGGGGCAGTGCGCGAGAGAGAAGCCAGCCGGGGGTTCTGTGGCTCCCGTTCACCCAAGGGGATGGAACCTGGGGTCCCAGTGGCTCTGGAAGTGTCAGGGGTACAGAAGTGGCGCCAAAGGCCGTGTGTGTTGGAACACCGTGATTTCTGGGTGACAGCTGAAATTCTGCTGTGCTCAAGGGGGTCAGAGGCTTAGGAGCTCTGGAGAAGCAAGTCTTCTGAAAACGGGGAGAACCAAGGGCTGCTAGACAGCACCCTCCCTTCCCACTGTACCCCACTTCTTCCCAGCCCTTCTTCTTCCAGCCCAGCCCACCCAGCCTGGGGGCAGCAGGCGAGTAGGGGCATCGGGAGAGCAGAGTTCCCCATGCAGGGCGGAGGATGTCTTTTTCCATCCGAGGCAGGAATTAGGGACCTCTGGGCAGGGCTTGGAGGACCAGCTGCAGCTCTGGCTGCGCTCCTCACTGACCTTGCCCTGTGGAATCAGTCAGGCTCAGAGGAGTGGCCCTTGATTGGCAGGGAGAGGGTAAGGTAAGGAGGGGGCGCTGGTCGAGCGTGCGGGTGAGGACGCCGCTTCGGTTTCTGCGCAAGAGGGCTGTATGGTTTGGGACCGCGAAGTCCCATCCAGCTGCAGAGGGCTGTGCGGTGGCGAAGGGGTCACAGTGAGGTTGGACAGTGAATACCTCCTCCCTCCCCGGAGCATCCAGAAGGATCCAGCTTGTTATAAATGTGACAGCGCCAGGCGCGATCTTCCCTGACAGCAAGTCCGACCCGAGCCGACGTGGGACACGGCCGTGATAACTAAACCATTCCCCTGCCATGCAGGAGGACAGGGGGAACACATTGCAAGGGAGGCCCCGGGAGCCCCGGGCAGACCGGCGAGCGGCTCGGTGTCCGCTCTGAGGGCTGGGGTCACCCAGGGTGGCAGGTGAGCGCCCAGCAGGGCCGGGTCGGGATGAAGAACAGAGGGGCCTGGGCTCATGGCTTTGGGGAGAGCAGGAGCTCGGCTGGTGGTGGGCAGGGTGACGGGCAGCAGTGCCACTGGTCAGGGAGCTGAGAGTGAGGCCAGGATGGGGTTTGAGTGGGGTCAGTGGGAGCCGTCTTAGCACACCCCCGAGTTTTGACGAACATGTACAGCCTGTGGGAGACCACACTCGAGACGTAGGAAAGCTCCCCCACCCCAAGGAGCTCCCTTGTCCCCGCTGTCACCAGCCCCAAAGTATGGAGACTGGGTGGCCCCGGGTCTGTGCGCTTCCCTCCTGCTGCCCTCCTGCGGTCACGGAGGAGCGCGAGGTGGGAGGCGGGGTCTCGTGTGCTGTGCTGTGGTTGCGGGTCAGCCTCGTGTTGCATGGTGGTCACGCGCGTCCCAGGGGTCTGCACCCCCATCCACAATACCTGTAATCGTCCACAGCATCAGGCCGGCCAGGCCTCAGCTTCCTGTCTAGGGCACAGTAGTGGGGTTCCTGCTGTGGCTCCCGCTGACTGTCCTGTTGTGTGACCCGGGAGGCTGGGAGCCCCCAGAGAACGTACCCCGCATGGCAAGAGGTGGGGGGTCTTGAGCCATGGCAACCATTTCCTTTAAACGAGGAGGCTCTAAACCCTGATGAGACGTGTCAAATGCACACACACACAGTACTGTAACTTGTACGATTGTCTGAAAAACTTAACTCCACTTCCACTTCAATTACAGACTATTTCAGGCAGATGTGTTCATAGTGGGCATATTTTTATAATTGCTTTGATTCCCGTGTATCCGTTAACTGCTGGAAAACTTACCAGCCCCACACCCACCCGATCTTTTAATGTTTCTCTTAAATTCCTTGGCAGCTTTAAACTCCTTGTTTTTCTGAGCTGGAGATAAACTCAGGTGGGAGAGGAATGGGGGCAAATTTGTGACCAGAAGGGAGAAGGGAGCTTAGGGTGAAGCCATATTTGTATAGCACATCCACCCATCTATCCATCCACCCATGCATCCATCTACCTGCCCATCCACCTGCCCATCCATGCATCCACCTGCCCATCCATCCATCCATCCATCCATCCATCCACCCATCCATCCACTCAGCATCACCGAGCACTTGCTGAACTGTGACGTATGTCTTTGTTTTATGTCCTTCCACATTTCTTGCTCTTTAAGAGCAGGACTTGGGCCATTTGGTTCACCTCCACCCCTGATGCCAGGCACTCAACAGCACCCTGCAAACCTCTGTTGTTTACAGTGGGTGAATGAATGGATAGAAGACCTTAGTTAAGCCCAGCATCCCTGTGTGCAGTCCACATGCGACTTAATCTTGCTTTGCAGACTGGAAGCTGCAGCCCGAGAGTGTTCCACATGTGCCTGCCAGGGAATGGCGGGCCCAGGGTCACACCCATCTGTCTGACTCATCCGTGGGAGATGTGGTCCAAAGACACCCGTCCAGCCGCTGGCTGCAGACAGGCTGGTGAATCAGGGACAGGAGCGGCCTTCTCTTCAGGCCCTGGGTGATTAAGACGTGGCTTGGGTAGGAGCCAAGGGGGACACTCGGGGCTCCAGCTCAGGGTTGAGGATTGGGGGCTTCCTAGTGAGCCTGTGGCTTGGAGGCTGGGACACACAGGGTGAGGCCGTGGAGGGGCTGCAGTAGTGACCCCAAAGCCAGCTGCCCTCCCCCCCAGCACAGTGGGCGGGGAAGCAGGGCTCCCGGACTGCGCATTCCAGACTTCCAAAAGCACAGATGCCCGGGGCTCTTCCTGAAACCCGCTCTGACTCAGGAGCTCCGGGTGGAGCAGAAACTGCACTTCTGACAAGCTCTGGGAGGACCCAGCTTTGCCAGCCGTGGGCAGGTCACCAGGTGGGACACGTGGCCGGAGAGTGTAGCCCGAAAGCGCACAGGACAGCAAGCGTGGCTGGCCAGGCAGCAAAGGCTTGAAGCAGCCCGGGCAGCACGGGGGAGGGGCTTGTGGAGGGAACACCCACCCTCAGGGCCTCCCTGAGCAGAGGTGGGCGGCTCCCCGGCCCTCTCCCTCCCCCTGCAGCACTTCAAGGTCATTCCCAGCCCTTGAAGGTCGCTCAGCCTCCTGCGGGTGAAAGGCAGGGGTTGCCTTGGGCTGTAACAACAAAGCCCTTTTATTCCCTCCTGGATCAAATAGGGGAGGCGGAGCCGGTCGGGAGGGTTTTGGCAGAGGAGAAGCCCGTGAAGGATCTGGGGTGTGGAAACGCTGGCGAGGACCCTCTATGGGACCCTCGTGGGGGAGATGGCCCTGGCCCTGCGAGTCACAGACGGAAGTGGACTGGGCGACCTCAGGAGGGCAGAGCTGTCCCCGCCTGTCCCCGCAGGTGGCCACCAGTTCTGTGTTCTGGGCATAAACCAAGGGGGAGGTGAGAGACCCACAGGGAGAGAAGGATCCTGGCAATGGTGAGGGTGGAACTCAGGACTCGGGGAGCAAACAGGGGAGGGCAGGCGCTCGGGGTCCTTGCAGTGAGGCCCCGCTGGCTCCCCACAGCAGGAGCGACGCCCTGTCCCCCAGCTGGGGCCGCGTGGGGCTCGGGAGGCAGAGGGGAGGGTCCCGGAGCCGTGACTGGGGACGGGAGGTCTAGCCCCAGCCCCAGCCAGAGGGGCCCACCTGGTGCCCAAGGGGTGGGCGAGGCGCCCCTGGCTCCGCCTGAGGCTGGCGGCGCGGTTCCCTGGGAGCTGGGGCCAGGCTAGGCGGCCAGGGTGGCGGAGCTGTCCCCACCTGACTCCGGCTGGTCCCGGGAGGGAGCAGCGAGACGGAAACCTGGATTTCCTTAGGGCCGTGAGCCCGGAGCCTGGGAAGGGAGGCAGAGCCCGAGGTGAGAGACCACCTGTCGGGAAGCGGGCTTAGCACATCCCGCGGGACGGGGTCCCGCCTAGGGCGGCCGTCAGTGCAAGGTGACCTTGAGGGTTAAACATTAACCACACAGTAACTCACTGAGCACCGTCTCAGAGCAAGAATACTAGGGTTTACATCTCCGTGTCTCCCAGGAGCCTCAGGTGAGCACCGGCGGGGCTTCTGCAGGGCGACAGGACGAGCGCGGCGCAGAGCCGACTAGGGGCGAGGAGGCGGGGCCTGGCCGCTGTGGGCGGGGCCTGGCCGCTGTGGGCGGGGCCTGATCGCTGTGGGCGGGGCCTGCAGGGCTCCTCCCCCTCCGGGCTCCTCCCTTCGCTCTCCGCCGCCCCCAGGCCCAGTGCCCTGCTGTCCTGTCCGCAGCCAGGCGGCTCTGCGCTGGAAGGTGAGCCGAAAGAAACCTCTCCTGAAGTTGTGGGTGTCA